AAAAAAATCTGCTTTCCTGTCACCAGATTGCCAAACAAGAGCTAAACACTCTTTGGATCTTCTTTTCCAAGCTAGGAGGGCTCCATTTCTGCTGCGCTGGTTTGTTTTTGTTGAAGTCAAGTCCACGCTTTAGAAGCCACCTGCCCATGTCAGATGGCCAAGCAAGCTTTGGGGAGGAATGAGGGGGGAATGAATGACTGCCCGTCTCTCGCCCATCTCTGCTGACTGGGAGAAGGGCAGAGCTCTGCCCCGGCCGTGCCGAGGTGCCTCTCTCTTCTCAGAGCAGTTGGCGCCGTCGGAGATGTACAGCCGTCTGGTCGGGATACAGGTGGAGGGTGTCTGTGTGCATGCCCAAATTGGGATTTTTTTTTTTTTTTTTGGTAGATATTTTTTGTTATTGTTGCTGCTGCTGCTGCTTCTTCGTGTCTAAGTGTCACCCGGATTTTTGTTTCCTTCGTTCAGACGCTGCACGTTCCGAGAGGGGGAGAGAAAGGTACACCAACCTGATGCCTTTCTGAACATCAGCCCATCTCTTTCCACTGCTTGTAGAACTCCAGAACGTTTTTTATTTCGACGCTGGCATTGGCGGCTGCCTGGATGGCAGACTACAAGCAAACAGAGACAGTACAGGTTATTTTTCTCTTGCTCTGTCAAGAGGACTGCCCTTCCCAACTTGGAGATCCTCAGGCAGAGTTTGTCTTGGCTGAAAGGCCCAATTCTCCTTCATGCTGAAGTTGCTCTGGCGAGAGGTCTGCACAGACACGCAAATTACTTCTCCCACCTCCCCCAGGACACTTTGCACCAAAAAAGCATGACAAATTATGGGGCCTTCGAGGAAATAGAATCACAAGTTATAAACTAAATTTGGGAAATCCAGGACAGCTATCACCCAAGGTTGAAAACATTAAAAAAAAAAAAAAAAATCTCCTGCCAATGAACTGGATTTATAATCTTGCTGGGAAGCCGAAAGGCTCAGCTCAGCCAGCCAAAGAGCCACCGACCTGCATGGGCGCTGAGAACGTGCTCGGGTCCTCCAGCTGAAAGCCTGTGATGATGGTGACCATTCCTGTGGTGTCGTCCTCTCCGCTTCCTTGGGACACTGTCAGTTGTTTGCAGCTGTCCAGGATTTTATAGAGATTCCTGCCACACCGATGCAAGAAAAGAGAAACAGAGGGAAAGTCAGCGGGAAGATCACTTGTTTGTGCAAACGGTTCCACAGATGCTCAGGGGAAAGCAGGGCTGTTGCCTGTTGAGGGATTCGAGACCCTTCTCAAATACACAGATGCATGCCCTGACACTCTCCCGAGGCAATTTTGTAATTACTCACATAGGGCATCGAATCAAGAAAGCTGCGTGATGGGTCCCAGTGCGAACACCCCTCCCCAAAGCCTCCCTGCTGGGAACCAGGCTCAGGCAGCTCCCGGTGCTGTAATCTTACCAGGCATCTAAATCTTGTCTCTTCAATTTATGCCTCTCAAAGCTCTTCCCAACATCTTTCTGGCAACGAATATACCTAAGGAAAGATCAGAGTCGCAGAGCTCACACAAAGACTGTCACATACGGACGTCAACGCTCTGCCGGAGACCCACCAGGTGCTGCAGGACCCTTTCACAGGCTGAAATCAACCAAAATAACACCTAAAGGCTTGCCCACGGAATCCCCTCCCAAGTGTTTCCAAGGCCACTGGCCCTCACCCAGACACACAGCTGTTTGTCCTTCCACAGCTAACACGGGCAACACCGCGGTACGGCTCCTCCAGCACTCCCCGTGCATCAGGAGAAGGAACTGCTCGGTTTTATACACTGATAGAGCCGCAACTCCCTCCACTCCTCAGAAGCAGACACATTTCATGGCCCAGCAGCAACTACAAGTGCATCTGGAGACCCAGCTGCCAAATCTGTGACTTCACCACCTTCCCTCTCACCAGGGGCGTCCCTAAGGCGTGGCTTTCCCTTGGCCCACGCCTCGCTCTGCCCCAAGGGATGCACAGCCTGCTCCCACCAGGGACATTTTGTTCCACCCCACCACACATCCACTCCAAAACCAAGGGCAAATCGCACCACTCTTTTGCTCTCACCTGTTTCCCTTTTTAAATTCTGCCTCCAGATACCGGATGCTGTCCCGAGCACCTGCGTTCTCCTTTTTCAGGAAGTCTAAGCCATCGATCACTAACAGGAAAAAAAAAAAAAGAAGCAAAAACATCTGGCTTAGAGCTATACTTCTGCAAACTAATCCAGATGTGTCAAGAATTCCTCATCCTTCTGAACTGTCTCTGATGGAAGGCAGCAGTGGCTGCCAGAGGAGGCAGACAAAGCAGAGGGTGAGCAGAGCCTCTCTCTTTAAAGCTGTTCTGTTAGATTCCAAGCATGGGACACATATAAAACAGGCCCCTAAAGTGACATGGAGAAGCAGTGTTTCAGCTGCTCCAGCCAAAGTAAAGGACAACACCAGCAGGAGAGAAAGCCACCACCTTGGCCACAGGGCTTGCTTCCCAGCAAGGAGGGAAGGAGGGGCAGGCAGGCTCAGTTATCTGACACGAAGAGGAGTCCCCATACCTGTTCGAGGGATGATGATTATGAACCTCCCGCTGGTGGCCAGCTGCTTGACAACAGCCAGGTGCTGGCAGAGGGCCTGGGTGTCCGGGACAAGGTAAGGAGACATGGCTGACTGCGCTTTGGGCTGCTGGAGACTGCCCTCCAGCTGAGAAACCTCCAGCTGAAAAAAACCACATGCACAGAGATACCTGCTTCATGTTTATGCTGAAGCAAATGATCAAACAGGGCAAGATAACGCCTGGCAAAGCTCCATCGGGACCTTCCAACCTCCTGGCACACGGAGCAGAGGGCTGGATGCAGCCCACGGGTCAGAGGGAGGTGATGGTTCCACTCCACACTGCACTGGTGTACCCCCCTGCCCCATTCCGTGCAGTTTTGGGCACCTCAGTACAAGGAGGACATAAAACTATCAGGGTGTGTTCAGAGGAGGGTGACCAAGATGGTGAAGGGTCTCGAGGACACAACTTATGAGGAGCAGCTGAGGTCACTCGGTTTGTTCAGCTTTGGAGAAGGCTGCGGGGTGTCCTCACCGCTGTCTACAACCTCCTCAAGGGGGGCAGCGGAGGTGCTGGTCTCCTCTCTCTGGTGACCAGAGATAGGACACAAGGAGATGGAACGGAGCTGCCTCAGGGGAAGGTCAGATCAGACACGAGGAAAAGGTTCCTCACTGCAGGCTCCCCAGAGAAGCAGTCACAGCATCAAGCCTGCCAGAGTTCAGGGAGTGTCTGGACAAGGGTCTCAGGCACATGGTTTGGTTTTAGCAGCCCTGCAAGGAGCAGGGAGCTGGACTCAGTGATCCTTATGGGTCCCTTCTAACTCAAGATATTCTATGATCCTGTCTTTACTGCCTCTGCGTGGGATGGGAGCAGAGAGCTCCCCCTTCCCTTCCTAGTTTCGGACATTTCAGCCACCACCCTGCCAGTTTTCAGGCTGGAACCAGCATGTCCTACCTGCAGTCGAAGCTGAGCCATATCTCTCATTAGCCTGTTCCGACGAGCTTCCTCTGCAGCCTAGTTAGAAAAACAAACTTCCACATCAATTAGCAGGAAACACACTGGCACATGCTTCCATAAACGGGGTGAAAAGGGGACACCTGAGTAGCTTTAGGGATGGTGACAGGAGCAAAACTTTCATCTCCCACCAAAGATCTGCGATTACAGTTACAATCTAATAGTAATCTATGGGAAACGGTGCCGAGTACGGAGGCTTAGCCCACCTCTGCCACTCACCATGTGGAACTGGGCTTGGGCCTGGTGCAGCAGGTCGTCTTGCTCTGACTGTGCTATGCTGATGAAGATCCCAAGCTCCGAGTTGAACTGCAGGATGCTGCCTTGCAAGTGGGCAATGAAGTGGCCGAAGCTCCGAATGCAGCAAATCCGAACAACCGACTGCAAAGAAGCAGAGAGGCAATCACCAGCCTGTCCCCCCGCAGCGGCTGTAGCCTGAGCCAGCTCCCACCCTTCAGCTCAACACCTCTGGAAAAGGCAAAAATTGCTACTAAAAAAAATCCAAAGGAAACATTACTGACAGAAATGTGCTTCTGAAGACAGAGACACATGGAGAGGGCTGCAGAAAAGCCTACAGCTGGCCAGAAAGCTTAGAAGGGCTTGCAGTCTGGGCTTTCTGACCTCAAGAAAATTTCAGAAAACATCAACAGGCTCTCCCCAATAAATCTCTGCTCCAACCCTCAGTGCTGGGAAAAGGAATCAAATAAAACAGCAATCTGATTCTGGGGCAGGCACTACTCTTGGCTGGGCTGCTGAGCAAGGGCAGCAAAAGGCAAGCTCACGTGGGATGTGAGATTGCTGTGCTTTGCTCCAGCTGCCCCGGCAGCTTAATATGACATTCAAGAGCTCAGCTGGCTGGACCGTGATTGAACAAATACAGGTCCCACACCATGGGTCAGAGCAGAGACAGAAGATGGATTTCCCACCACAAAGGAAGCAGACTGGCCCAGCAAGGCAGGACAGGAGAAGAACAGTTGCCCGAAAAGGAGCCGTGGCCCTCTGTGCTCTGCAAGGACACACAGCGCCACATTAAGTGAGATTTCCCCAACTTTTGTGTTTACTAGAGAAGGGTCACAGCAAATATCCTGCAACTCCCACCAAATTCTCTACATTCGAGGCAGCGCAGAGATAACGACTCTTCTGCTCAGACAGGGAGGTCAGGAGGCTTCGTGCAGCAAAACTGTCAACGTGTGACTCTGCTTCCTTTCATAATTACTCTGATAGCGAAGGGACAGCAATTTTTTTTAACACTGATTTTTGGACAGACAGATGACTGCAGCAACCACCAATAACATCAACTCATCTTAGACTCGAAAGTTCGAATCAGTTTGGGGTCTTTTTTGCCAAGAAAGAACTAGATCTTCATCTGTACAGCTAAGACAGGCTGCACCTACAGAAAGGGGCATGCAGCTTGTGCCAAGATTCAGGATTTACACCGACTCACCTCCTCAACTGCTGAGAAAATGGGCCGGTCCTGCTCGAAGTTAAACCTCTTGTGTGCATTTTTCAGAGGGGGAAGATTTCGCAGGGCCACATCTTCTGGGAGGAGCAAGTTGGCTTTCAGGTCTGGGAGCTCAGCGCCACTCAGAACGTCCTTGACTTCGTTACATAGGGCCAGCCCTGGAGAGGATGGAGGGAAAGCACAGCAATATGCGGTGACTTAATGTGGGGACAAAGAAGAAAACTGCTTTAAGGCACGCAATCGGTAGTGATCAAGGGCAGAGGTTGTAAATTACACGTGAGATGTGTTGGGGGAGGAACAAAAAGGCCACCACGATATACAGAGTAACTGTCCTTACTGGGGTGCAGCACTTCAGAAAAATGGTAGTTTGGAGGGGAGCGTTAGCTTTCCCATTCGTTCCAGCAGACATGCATTCCTGTTTAAACTGTGCTTCTCATGAACACGGGGATCTTTAGGCTGAGGTACAGGGCACATCACGAGCATCTGGAGCTTCCAAACTATTTTCCACAATTGCTATGACAAAATCATACCCTTACGTGTGGTCTTGACCGTTAATTCCAACCATGTTGGCCACACGAGGATTTCACGCACACAGGTGCGAGTGCTTGAGTATATTCTCAGCCAGATGTCATACATGAAGAGAGCTAAAGTCTACGGGACAGTATTTAACCGGAAAGGTGTTTAAACATAAACCCAGCACATGCGATGTCACTTCCCATTGTGCTTATAAGCAAACTGCTACTGGCAAGTCTCTCACCCTGGGATCTACCACACACCACGGAAACCACCGATGAAACATTACACTGCCACCTCCTTCTCCAGTACCTGATTCCTGCAGGTCCGCAGCAGAAGGCAGAAGGTTCAGGAGCACAGACAGCCTGTTCCACAGGCTCTGAGAGCTCTGCAGGAACAAAACACAAAAGGCCACAAAAATGTCAAGAGAGATGTACGCAATAACCAGGCCACGTGGGCTTTCCAGCATCTTTCACAGACCTCTGAATGCTTTATAAATGTAAACACCACCACACCTCTTAGGTCAAGATTATCTTAATTCATCTGGTGGGGTATTTAACACCACCTCCTGGCCAGGACTGTGGCAGTAGTTTCAATATGCCCTCAGCATCCCAGCCCAGGGGAACTGAGCAGATGCAGCCTGGACCGAACCCCGAGCACCGTTCCCACCTGAGCACACATGATGATGAGGTCTGTGTTTGTCCTCAGCCAGTCCAGAAACACCTTGACAGTGAGAAGCAGCCCTTCGTTGGTCACAATCTCTAGCTTCTCCTGAAGGGTTCGCTCATTCCTGCAGGATTTGTTACTTGAAATGCTCTCCTCAGAGTCAGACACATCATCTGGAAAACGAAGGGAGAAGCAGGATAGCAGGCATTAAACCCCTTGAGCAGCCAAGTTCTACTGGTATGAGAAGAGCACTGGGTTGGTAAGAGCTGAGTTGAACTTCTCAAAGCCTCCACGCATCCCCACAATACCAGTTCCCCATCCCCTGTGCTGTTGTTAAGAGCCTGTCACTGCTGGGTTTTATTCTTCGTTGGGAGAAGATTGCTAAAATCTCCCTGGGAAAGTTTTTAAGCCCTGCAGCAGCCTCTGAGACGCTTCCTAAGAGAGCAGGGGGAGGGAGCACGTGCCAGCACAAGGACCGTGTCATCTACTGCAGAGAACAGAGACCGCGCACCAGTCTTCGGGCTATGCGAGAGAAGAAAACGTTAGGGCTGTTTTATGAGCCAGGGCACAGCTGAATTTGAACACTGAAGATGCTTTGCAATCTTGTAATTCTACAAACCTGAGGATCTCAAAGCCACCACCAATGAAGTTACTATATGAGCGGCCTGAGGTCAAGGTAGCAGCAAGCTGGGAGTCGATGATGTGTTTCGCTACAGCTCCTTATTTTCATTGCTCCTTATTTTCATTTCATTTAGCCTTCAATAAACCCTCCGAATCAAAAGGGAGGAAGTAATTTATTCAGAAACCAGCCCTGATAGAGTGTTAAGAGCATTAAACTGCTCCTGTTTTGAAACAGGACAGCTGAGGCAAGGAGCGCTCAAACCCAAAAAGCACATGGGTTAATTCAACCTCTCGTTTTCTACATCTAGAAAGGTATCACGGCCGCACTATTCAAATATTTTCCTGGAGCTGCAACATCTGTGTAACCCATGGAAGGAAAATGTTAAACAGACCAAAAGATCATTTGTTTCTTCCTTTACCCCCATCTCTTTCAAGTGGCTACGAAGCAATGCCGGGAGCCAGTAAACATTAACATGATCTAATTCCCCCCCTTCAAACCCTTGTCCAGGCAAAGCCTGAATCCTGCCAGTGCTCCAGGCCCACTGAATTTGGCAGCACGATGCAAAAAATGTTTCCTTGCTCCAGGGAAGCTGGGAGGAATGACAAACAAGACCAAACAGGCCCATGTGGTTTTATGTGAAATACAAACAACTCCCTGTAGTGCATCAGATCTCCCTTTCATGTTTTTTTTTTGTTTTTTTTTTTTCCCCAGAACATTATTCAGTTGCGTAAGTTGCATGGTAATAGAGACATTGCAGCTCCACCTGCTGTGCATCTGCAGTTTGGTTCAGCACCAAGTGCTCAGCGAGGTAGCGTTCAGAGGGTCACAGAAAGAGGCTCTCAACTCCTGTCGCACGCACCCAGGTCACATCTTACAGACAAGCTCCTGTGAGAGCTTTGCAGAGTTGATAATCTGACATCTCATGGAGAACTTCCCGGACTGCATTGGCATGGTCACCAGAATTGACAGTAGGTGTCTGATTACAGAGATTTCACATGGGAAAAAGGAAGATAATCCTCATTTTTAATACCTGCTGGAATTACCCTGGGTATTACCAGAGCTGCCCAGCATTCAGCCTGTTGAGCAGAACAACAGGTAACACTGGCTGGCTGCAGGTGCTTCCTTTGCTCAGGATGTCAGGCAATGTGAGTAAAGCTCCTCCTTCAGGAACACCCAACCCGAGACATCCCCAGTACTTACCCGCTCCTCCAAACCTGGCCGAAGGAAAATTTGCACCACGAGAAGGGGCGGATTTAGCAAACAGACCACTTGCTACAGCTTACAGTTTTCTACACAGAACGGCAACAAATTATTTTGAACGAGGTTGCTGATTCTTACCTTGCTCTGCCAAGCTGGGCTTCTCCAGATCTCCATTGACACATGGCTTGCTTTCTATTCCATCCTTCAAGACGGGTGGTTCACTGTTTGGTTTCAGAAGGATGTTGCTGAAAGTGGGAGCCAAGCGAAAGCAGCGTTTGGTCTGAAACAGCTGAGTGGACATGGCTTGGAGATTACTGGCTATGCTCGCGTCGTTAGTGCTCAGGGAAGCTGGCCCATTGACTGCTGGATCTGAAGCCTCACTTTTAGAGATGCTTGGGCTCTTGGAGTCCCCCAGCCCACTGCCATCCACACAGTTTTTTAAGGCCTCTTTGGGCTCACTTTTGCCTCGGCCACTTCCCTCCTCATCCGGCTCATCCTCCATGTCCTCCAGGTCAGACCGAGATTCTTGGCTGTTCATGTCAGAGTCCGTCTCCACATCAAAAGCAGCTTCTGCCTCCACGTCACTCTTCTCTGAGCCACTTTCTGAGCCATCACTGCCCTTTGTGGAGCCCTGGCTGGAGTCCGAGTCAAAGCCCTCGCTCAGGTCACTCTCATCCATCTTCTGGGGGTGGCGCCGGCGACGCAGACAGGAGAGGCGGGAATATTTCTTGCTTTTCTTGCAGTCATTCTTCCGTTGCTCCTCACTGGGCTGGTGATTGGCCACATCAGCTTCAGCTTCCTTCTCAATCGAGTTCAGCGGCTCCCGCGGCTCCTGGTCATCTGCAGGCATTTCAAATGAGACCACAAGTTAAGAAAGTCCTGGTGCGGCACAGAAGCTGCTTGCCAGCCCTAAGCCTGGGGAACCAGTAGCACAAATTTCAGCCATCGCTTCTATTAGTGTCTTTAGCCAGAGAAGCGGCGACCCTAGAAGAGTGACCCACTTTCTAAAAGGTGTCTAGAAAGGCTGGGGAAGCCTGGATTCCTGCT